GCCGCCTCTCCTCAGCCTGCCGGGGCTGGAGCGGGGCGCCCGGCGGCCCTCGGCCCCGCCGCTCGGCCCGGGGTGTGACTGAGTTGGCTGCGGTTGCGGCCGTGGGTCCGGTTGACGAGGGGCGCTTCTGTAAGCGTTGTCTCCTGAGCCCAGGGCTGAGCTGTGCCGGCTTTGCCTGGCACGTTGTCGTTTTCCTGAAATAAACCTTTTCCCTGTTACCCCCTGGGGACACGCGGGTGCTGCTGCGTAAAAGCACTTGGTTGGAGAATGCCTTATTCCAGCTTTGCTCACGTGTTTTAAAGTATCTTTGTGTTTGTTTCTTTTAGATTAAGTTATACACAAAACATGGTACTCTGAAATACCAGACAGATTGTGCTCCAAACAATGGGTATTTCATGATTCCCCTCTATGATAAGGTAAGGAACTGAAACGCTGGGTCCGATCTGCCGGCAGATTAAACGCCAGAACAACACCCACCCATGAAGCATTTGAATTAGGACATAATTTAGTTTGGTTTGGACCAAACTTTCAACAGTTTGTTTTTGTAGTGCAACTATTTTATTTCTTAGTGCTATGTATGATAATGAGAAAAGTCAGGTAACAAGTATGTTGTTGCATTCGTGCTGTTTGTCTCAATGACTGCAGCATTGGGAGCCCGAATTACTGCCAACAACGATGTGCTAGCAGCTAACTGCACAAAAAGTACGGGCTCCGACAGAGTACCGATAAAGCTTTCTGCTGTCTACCTGTAGAAATGAAAATAAATCTGTGTGAGAATGTGTTTTGTTACAGCTGAATTGAGAATGAATGACTAATTGCAGATATTAAAAATGTCTTGTAAAAATAATGATACAGGAAGCTCAGAACATGTTGGAAGTTTGGTGTCTGTTTAGACTGGAAAGATGTTTGCATTTAAATTGAAAACAGACTGCCCCAGATGGTCTTAAGGGTTTTGCTCTTTTAAAGAGCTGGTTGACTTAGGGATCAGAAGTAAAATCATAGAATGGTTTGGGTTGGAAGGAACCACTGAAGGTCATTTAGTCCAGCTGCCAAATAAATCCTTCCCTTTCCAATCTAAGAATGTAAGATGCTTTCTGATCTCAGTGATTTCATTTTTAGGTCTTTAAGCCTTTCCATAGATGAACTTTGGAACGTAACATATGTGGTGCCCACAGATTTAAAGAGGATCTCTGTGTAGATTAATATCCTTTTGGTGTAGATCTTTTAATAGGATCAAAATTTTGTTATCCCATGTTTGGGCAGAATGGTTGAGTAGGACCTCCTAGTGGAAATACTAAAGACTGATTTAGAGCACATCTGTTGGGGCAGGTAGAGATAGATTTGAACATTTTCTAACACTGAGCTGCTTGAACATGAGCCAGCTTTGGTTTGGAAGCAGTGTAAACATGATGATACTTAATTTTTGCTCTTAGCTGGCTGGATGTGAGCCCAGCATCCCAGCCTGCATGGGTAGATACTGCTGCTCCTTTGAACCAGAGTATTTTAGGTAAGAGGAAAAAAGAATGGGACACTTCAGCCTTGTGTTAGTCTCTGCAGCATGATGCTTGTATTCTGACTTTTTCATCCTTTAGCTAAATTGAATTTAGATCAGTTATTTTTTTATTTTTAGGGGGATTTCATTCTTAAAATTGAGCCTCCCCTAGGGTGGAGTTTTGGTAAGTGCCCATACGTCTTCTTACAGTAGGACTAGTGTATCAGCAATGTGGGACTTAACTATCTCTAACTTGCAGTTGGCAGGAAAAATCAAGTGCTTTTCAAAAGAGATAAGCCCTACTGTATGTGTTTAATAACTAAAATGTACTTACTGTACCAGAGGAAAATAAAGCTGTAAGGTAGACCCTGGCAAAATAACCCATGAGCTGATTTGAGGGAATGTGGGTTTTTGACAGAAATGGCTGCTATGGGAAGGGGAAAGAGGATTTCAGCATCAGGATTTGTGGGTGCTTTAACTTTGCTGAGGCAAGACTTCCAGTGCAACACTTGTGTGCTTAAGTTAATGCATTTCAGTGAGAGTTTTGTAAAGCTAAAGTAGAACTGCTTCATGATTGCTCTCTTAACTACTATGCTGTTTTATTGTTCTTCCTCTCCAGAACCAACCAGTGTAGACATCCACGTGGATGGCATTAATGACATTTGCACAAAGGGAGGTGATATTAACTTTGTGTTCACAGGATTTTCTGTGAATGGAAAGGTTAGACACTCTTACCTTTATTTATTCCATCTTATGCTAATTCTACCTTCATAAAAACATTCTACATCAGCTTGCAAGGTTTTTTTGTCCATTTATACTCTGGTTCATTTTCATTTTGACAGGTTCTCAGCAAAGGTCAGACATTAGGTCCTGCTGGAGTCCAGGTTGTACTGAGAAATGCTGGCAGTGACATAAACATACAAGCAACTATTACACAACCTGGAGGAAAGTGAGTATGGGTGGTGCATACTTAATTCCTCTGTTCATTTACACAAGATTCTTTCAATTCTGCCATATTAACTGGGATTATAGTAGTTTTGAAATATTTTTTCTAATGTGCATAGTCTTAATTGTTCTTCTATAAACAAATGTTTGTGACTATTTCTGAAGAGACATAACCACTTTCTTGCCTTACAGGTTCGCTTTCTTTAAAGTGCTTCCTGGTGAATATGAAATCTTTGCATCTCATCCTACCTGGATGTTGAAAGAGGTTAGAGCCTACAAAAGTTCTGGTTTACCTGTTTAGTGAGGGGGGATCTGCTAGACCTTGTCTTGATCAGCTAGTGTGAGGAAGGGTTTTTGTGAGTGGACAAGGTTAATGGAGTTTTCATAAATTTCATTTAGGTAGTGAAGAAACTGCCTTGCACAGGCCCAGTGTGAAGATAGTGGAGCCAGCCAGGGAAGTACTGGCAAATGAGCTCTTGCTTTTGGTCTTCTAATCCTATACATTTTGCAGGAGCTTGAATATTGAAGCAGATGCTCTAATCCTTCCCTCTCAGACTGCTTGCTTTCTGAGGAGCTCTGAGATTCTGAGCGATTCCTAAATCAGTAAAACAGGAAAATAACTGTTTTGCAAAGTGTCTTTGCTTTAGTGTCTTTGTGTCTTGAATAGCCTGTGGACCCTCTTTAAGTACTGCTGCTCTGGCCTCTGTTTCTATTGTTGAATATACAGCTTCTGATTGTTATTTAGGTGCTGTAAATGAGATCTAATACCTACTTTTGATGAACGTATATGTGTTTATGTATTTCAGTCAAACACAGTGGTACGAGTGACAAGTTCTAATGCCTATGCTGCTAGCCCTCTGATTGTTGCAGGCTACAATGTTTCTGGGTCAGTAAGGAGTGACGGAGAACCAATGAAAGGGGTCATGTTTCTCCTTTTCTCTTCTTCAGTCACTAAAGAGGTAATGGCATATCAGTACCTTTTCAATACAAGTATGGACATAAATAAGAAGCAGCTAAATAGCTTCTAGATTCATACTGCCCCCTGATGCTCATCTCTGTCCTTCATTGAGCTTGGCTTACAGAAACCATAAACTGTGTGACTCCTCAAGCTGTACTTTTTTTGTTTTGTTTTGTTTTCAACAAGGCCCTTGTAATACAACATTTGCATACATGCTGAGTTTTCACTTGACCCCCGTGGAATAACTCAGATGTGTAACACAATAGCCATCTGTTTAAATGCTGGCAAAATTGAGGTTTAAGGTCTATGTATTTTTTGGACACAAATTAGAAAATTTATTGAATTTCAACTCTTTTGAACTCTTCATTACTGTTCTCAACAGCCAGGTTCCTCAATCAGGCTGTTCAGGGACATAGAAAACAAAGACCTGAACTGAAACAGGCAACAAGTGCAAAATACAATAAGGCTCACAGCATGTTATTGATCTGCATATTCCTTGTGGGTCAGCAAGGTTAAGTGCTACAGTTTTAAGACAATATGTTTCCGGTTACACCTTTTAACATGTTAAATGTTGGTTAGTAAATGTGTTCCCTTGTGAGGATGACACTTCTCCGTGGTGAAAGACCAGCTTCTGGCACAAGACACGATATGTTGCCAGACAAATCCTGACATTCACTGTACACTAGCTATAATTTTTCTTCAGCATGAGGTCTTAATTGCTCTTTGCCCTCTTTGATGTGAAGACAGAGTTCAACAGCTTCTATTGCCACTTTAACAGTGTGTTATGAAATGAGTGTGAAACATTTTATCAGGTGCTGTGATTTGTATGTAGAGTAGAGCTCTGCTCTTTAATGTTAACCTTGTCCACAAAACTGAAGTCAGTTAATGTTAAGACACATGGTGCAGTTCTGGAGTACAGGGAGGAATGTTTAATTTCCCAGTTTTCTGTCCTTCTTACCATAAAGTTGATTACTG